TGCATCCCGAGGATGATCACGTGATCATCTTCAAATTCAACCCGATCCATTGTCTTCACCGGATGGAGACAAAGGGTAAAAAAAATTTATCGGAATCATTTGATTCCGATGGAATTTAAAAATTATCCGTTAAAAAAAATTGAACATAAAATTCGTTATTATATTGATACTGCTATTATTTTTAGTAAAATAATAGCAATATTTATACGTCATCAGGACGTAACATACAAAACTGAGGGGAATCATATGGAGGTCATTTTGGGGTTATAGGGGGTCATATGAAGGTCATATGAAGGTCACTTGATTCTCACATGACCTCCATATGAGCCTCCTATGACCTTTGCACGGCCCCTGTACATCCCCATGTGACCCTCATATGGTCATTACATGGCCCTGATATAACCCCCATATGACCCGCATATAATCTCCATAGGAGCTTTATACATCATATGACCCTTACACAACCCTCACGTGAAACTTATACGACTTCCACATGCCCCGATATTATCCTTATATGACTCCCATATGACTCTTTTGACCCTCATTCTGACCCTTATGACCCTAAATTTCATAGGAAATCCTATAAAACATCCTGTAGAAAATTCAATAGGACAAACCAGATGGAAAATCCTATAAGTAATTTGTTGAGGCTTCAGCCTCACGTCACGGCAGGTTGGTCCGCTGACCACGAGCGGCAGCACCTCCTGGACACGGACCTGGGTTATCGACCGTGTCCAACTAATTGGGACCGACGGCACCTGCCGCGACACTTGTCCCATCTCGTCACTTCCGCCTTCTTCTCTAATCGCCTCGTGATAAATGTGCATCGTGCAATTCTCTCTCCGCGATTACATCGTGAATTATTGTGAACATCTCCACCATGCAAGCGCTCTAATTCATTCCAAATTAATTGTCAACGATTAGTTATCATTGTGACGTGGATATTTTTCGAGCTTTGTGTATATTTTATGAGAAATATAGACTTTTAGTGTGACTCTGCCCACGCGCAAAGTGACATTTATTTTTTGGTGAACTTCTCAACCCTTTCCCGAATCCCGGCTCTCCATCGGTTTTTATTTGTTTAACTCTCGCCGAAACATTTGGTCCTTCGAGCCGGATAATCGAGAAAAGTGGACATTGTTTTTCAGTAAAACTTTAGTGCGGGTGGTGGCGGTGAAAAAGCGCGGGAATCTGTGTGTCGGCTCCACCCCCTTTGCTCCACCCACNTGGATATTTTTCGAGCTTTGTGTATATTTTATGAGAAATATAGACTTTTAGTGTGACTCTGCCCACGCGCAAAGTGACATTTATTTTTTGGTGAACTTCTCAACCCTTTCCCGAATCCCGGCTCTCCATCGGTTTTTATTTGTTTAACTCTCGCCGAAACATTTGGTCGTTCGAGCCGGATAATCGAGAAAAGTGGACATTGTTTTTCAGTAAAACTTTAGTGCGGGTGGTGGCGGTGAAAAAGCGCGGGAATCTGTGTGTCGGCTCCACCCCCTTTGCTCCACCCACCGACTCCTCCCACGCGGCTCCTCCTTCGTGACGTAGCAGTGCAGTGGTGCTCATCTCGGACTATTGATATTTGTGCGCGCCACTAAAAATTGCAAATCCGTCAGTGCCACTCAACCTGGGGCTCCGTGACATATTTCTCCAGCACTTCAGGAGCAGATCTCTCGTCCTTCTCGCTGCCTGCTGAAGTTCTGCGCTCATCACTGCTGCCATTAAACCTTCTCACAGGGAAGTCAATTATTATTATTATTTTCCTCTATTGATTTTCCCTGAACTTCGCTGCTGCTTTTGCTTGATTTCAATTTTTTTTTGTTCGCTATTGGCTGTGCTTTTCTCCACTGTTGCGTTCTCCACGATTTTTTTTTGCTCCTTTTTTGTGCTCTCTGTGCTTGCTGAATTTGTATTTGCTATCGGGTGAGCATGTCTTTCGCAGGGAGATTATTTATTCAAGCCAGTAGGGCAAAGTTTATTGAGTCTCTCTAGACGGAATCATCGTCAGCGGCGGTGAAGGAGCTCAGTCACGGAGTTGCAGTCGAAGCTGGATATTCACTGGAGCCAATTCGAGGAGCAGCACGTGAGGCTGCTCACTGGGAAGGATAGCGCGGAGGTGCTCGAGCACGATTACGTAAAGCAGGGGGTATACGATATCTGTCTGCAGCGGTACTCCACGGCTCGTACGTCGTTCATTGGGCTAATCAAGGCCATTGATGGGACCGCGGATCTCTCGGAGTCGTTTCGTCGACCCGCTGCATCAGTTCCGTCTGCTCAGGTGACTCAAAGGTAGTTACCANTACGATATCTGTCTGCAGCGGTACTCCACGGCTCGTACGTCGTTCATTGGGCTAATCAAGGCCATTGATGGGACCGCGGATCTCTCGGAGTCGTTTCGTCGACCCGCTGCATCAGTTCCGTCTGCTCAGGTGACTCAAAGGTAGTTACCAAAGATCTCGCTGCCTACCTTCTCAGGGGACTTCTCCGAGTGGACACCCTTCAAAGATCTTTTCCTCTCGATGGTCGTCGGCAACAATAACCTCTCTACGGTCGAGAAATTCCATTATCTCTTGACTTCTCTTGCTGGCGAGCCAAAGCAATTGATCTCAACTCTGCCGGTAGCTCAAGACTCATTCATTTTAGCCTAGGATATGCTTATCGCGAGGTATGACAATGAACGTCTCCTCATCTCTACCCAGCTGGAAAGGTTGTTCTCCACTCCGAGGATCGTCAACCATACGGCCAAAGAGTTTAATGCTCTCCTCAACTCCACCACCGAAGCTCTCAACGCCCTGAAGTCGTTGGGGTGCCCTGTCGAGCACTGGGACAACGTCTTGGTGCATATCATCTCAAGCCAGTTGGATGTTAAGACGTTGGAGGCGTGGGAAGTTAAGATTGGATCCATCACCACCTTTCGAATGTACGCGGAACTCAGGGAGTTCATGTTGAGCAGAGCAAGAGCTAGGGAGAGAATGGAGCTGCATCCTCTGCATGCTCCCAAGACGTCAACTTCGAGTGTGCCCAACCACCCAACCACCCAGAGCAAAGCCAGCGAAGGTGCTGAATGTCTCAACTGGCAGTGCAGTTCCACCGGCTCGCGGGTCAAGTTCGCAGTCATGGGCAGACATGACCGCCAATGCCTGCTCCATGTGTGAAGATGAGCATTTCATCGACAAGTGCCCCAAATTCAAGCAGTTGTCGCCGGAAAAGAGGAAGGAGTTCGTCGAAAAGAAGTACCTCTGCTTCAACTGCTTGGGGAAGCACTCCATTCGTGCCTGTAGGACCACGAAGATGTGCGTTGTGTCACAAGCGTCACCACTCGATGATCCACATCACACGCCCTCAGAATTGTCCTCTGGAGACATCTCAACCAGACCAGTTGAATTCTCAAAGTCAGTGGTCTCAGTCTGGTACTCATCCTATACAGTCCGCTGTTCCGGGGCCTTCATCAGTGCAGCAGTGATCTTCTCAACCAACGACTTTACCGACAGCTGGTCCGGTAACTTCAGAACGTTCTCTACGGCCGTCGCTGTCAAGTGATTCTCCATCTACAGCATTATCAGTTCATGAATCGTCATCTCAGCTTAGACCAGGTGTTCTTCTCGCAACAGCGCTAGCTTTTCTCGTTTCAGAGAATGGATGTTGCTGTGAAGTTCGGATGCTGTTGGATCCTGGATCTGAGTTATCATTTGTTACAGATAGTCTTGCGGTAAAGCTAGGTTTGTTGAAGTCTCCAGCTTTGCTACTTGTCGTTGGTATTGGTGGATCAAGGTCATTCTCAAAGGAATTCTCTCAGTTCTGTTTGAAGTCTCTGCACTCAGACAAACACCTTCAGATTAAGGCCTAGATTCTTGACCATCTCACATTATCGTTGCCGTCGTTCTCAGTCTCGGATACTCAAGCTTGGGGCCATCTCGAGGGACTGAAGTTAGCTGATCCGGAATACATGGAACCAAGATCTATTGACCTTCTCGTTAGCGCGGATTTCTTCGGATCAATTGTGGAGCCACAGATCATCAAGGGGCCTTCGGACTCCCCTATAGCAATGCACACTATCTTCGGTTAGCACCTACTTCAGCGGTGATTCCAATGGTGGCCAGCTCTAATCACATTGCAGTGAGCAACAAGGAACTCTACGACCTTCTCACTTCGTTCTGGCTGCAGGAGGAGGTCCCAAACGCCANCATCAAGGGGCCTTCGGACTCCCCTATAGCAATGCACACTATCTTCGGTTAGCACCTACTTCAGCGGTGATTCCAATGGTGGCCAGCTCTAATCACATTGCAGTGAGCAACAAGGAACTCTACGACCTTCTCACTTCGTTCTGGCTGCAGGAGGAGGTCCCAAACGCCAAAGATAGTGATCTCACGAAAGAAGAGGCAGAATGTGAGGAGTTTTTCCAGCACACCCATTTACGAGACAGCTCAGGGTGCTATGTGGTTCGCCTGCCTCTTGCACATTCTCCGACAGAGCTTGGCGACTCTTATGGTCGGGCTAAAGTGTGTCTCTCCAGCCTGTTCCGGAGAATGGAGAGGGATCAACGGACCCTTCAGCTGTATAGTATTTTTCTCAAGGAGTTCGAAGATCTGCGACACATGGTGCGTGTTCCAGCCTTAACTGGTTCGGGGAATGCCGGGAGCTTGAAGGTCGGCTGTCGATCTGAGGGGATGACCTTGGCATATGGGGCTTCGGCTTCAGAAGGGTTGAGGGTCCCTGAGGAGAAGGAGTCGGCTCGTGTCTCCACTCGGTGTTCTGCTCAGAGGCAAGCTCATTCCTCAACTCCTATGTACTACTTTCCTCATCATGGTGTTCTCAGGGAAAGTAGTGAAACAACGAAGCTGAGGGTAGTCTTCAACGGCTCTAGTAAGACCAACTCAGGGGTGTCTCTCAATGATATCCAACACACTGGAGCCAAACTGTAGAAGAATATCTCTGACGTGCTGCTCTCATCCAGGCGGAGCAAGTATATTTTCATGACGGACATCACCTCATGAAAGATGTTCCGATGGAAGATGTTCCGTCAAATCAAGGTGCATCGTGAGGACTGGCCTCTTCAACAGATTCTGTGGCGGGATTCTCAAAGTCAGATCAACCAGCTCACCACCGTGACCTACGGGACTGAATCAGCCCCATTCTTAGCCTATAGAGTTCTCAACCAACTGGTCGCGGACGAAGGACATGGTTTTTCTCTAGCAATCTCTCCGTTGACCAGTGGAAGATACGTGGATGACATCTGTGGTGGTGCTGAAAAGGAGAGTGATCTTCTAGAAGTCTCCAAGCAAGTGAGGGATCTTTGCTTAGGTGGTGGTTTCCCTCTAGCAAAGTGGCATAGCAATAGTCCGTCTCTACTCAGATCTCTGAATCCAGAAGGTGTCTCTCAGGATCATAAGCTGCTAGAGGATGCCATCAAGAAGATTCTTGGTTTGAAGTGGGATCCAAACACAGACCAATTCAAGTTCTCAATCCGCCTTCCGGCCAACTCAAAGGTGCGGAAGAGGAATATGTTGTCTGAGATAGCTCAGTTGTTCGACCCTCTGGATCTGCTTTCTCCTGTGGTAATTAGGGCAAAGGCACTCCTACAGCGTCTCTGGGTTGTGAAGCTGGACTGGGATGATGCGCTCTCATCACAAATCTCGCATAATTGGACCCAATTCCGTAAGGAGCTATCTCAGGTCGAAAATATCTCCATTCCTCGTTGGCTCGGAGTCAAGAAGGATGCTCTGGTGGAAATACACGGGTTCTCAGATCGCAAACAGCGATGGCGGCAGTTGTATATGTGAAGATGACAAGCTCGGATGGCGTGAGTATCTCGTTAGCTACTGCTAAAACCAAGGTGGCTCCTCTTAAGCAACTCACCATCCCGAGACTTGAGCTCAACGCCGCAGTCATACTGGCGAAACTCACAAGGTATGTGCGTGTTCAACTCAACCTTGATAACGCTCCTGTATTCCTGTGGACAGACTCAGCTGTTACCTTGGCGTGGATCAGCTCTCATCCCTCCCGGTGGAAGGAATATGTGCATAACAGGGGAGCCAGCATACAGGAACTGGTTCCAGGAGCGAAGGGACGATACATCAGCGGTAAGGAGAATCCTGTTGATTGTGCTTCTCGGGGCATCACTGTGGCTCAACTCAGTGCTCATAAACTGTGGTGGACGGCTCCAAAGTGGCTGCAGTTAGACTTCTCTCAGTGGCCGAAAGAGAATGCCAAACTGGATCCGTCAGCGAAGCTGGAAGAGAAACCCGGATCCATATTTACCGTTTCGATGGGCTCTACTCTCTGGGATCTCATCACCAAGTACTCCTCTCTCTACAAATTGCTGCGCATAACAGCAATTTGTCAACGTGTTGTTGCTCGGTTGAGGAGGAAACCAGGTGAAACTCTCGTGGATCCACTCAGTCCTGATGGCATCTAGGCTGTATTGGGTCAGAGCCACTCAGGCTCATTATCTGCAGTTGGAGTGCAGCATTATCTATCGGGTTGAGGTCACGGCCCCCGGATTGGAAACTTCAGAGCGATATAAACTTACAAAACTGAACTCCCTAGATTCCATCAATTCAGTCGTTTCAGTTAAGACTATTCGGAAGCTGATGGATCAAATAGAAATAAGGATTAATCAAATTGGTAAATCAGCAAGTGAAAAAAAAAAATAATCTTAAAGAATATGATCCATATGCATCGTATTACGTTGATCCTGTCCTACCGTAGTAATTTTTAAAAATTATAATTTCACTCTGTTCATGTATTCAATACATCGAACATTTTTGAAATATAACATTAGATTCCTCAAAAAAAATGATTAATTACAGGTTTTCTGTGCAAAATTTTATAATGATGATTACGGATGACTTACTCATTTATAAAATTCGTCGATGATTTCCATGAATCTTCGACAAAGGAAAAAATTCTGTAAAATGTTGATGCGCAAAGTGACGAATTACAATGAATTCTCTCATACCGAATTTGCATTCTTCTAAAGATGTTTATGAGTGTTCGCTATCTTCCTGTTTTGCATGTCTCTATTGTATTGGGAAAAGACACTAAATTGAAGATATTTTTCGGTGATTTTGCGAAATGTCTGAATTCAGATTGATGCAAATTTGTAGTGGATTGTCCAGATGAGAAATCCATATCGAATAACGGAAATTGACAATGTAATAATCCAACAATAAAGTCCTTACACTTATCATTGTTTATACATATGTATCAAACTCACGGTTATGTTTAGTTTGCGATTGGAGAATTTTCATTTTAAAATTTCATCAATTTTTCTACACATTAGTAATTAAGCTAGTCACGTGTAGTTGTGTTGATGGTATGATGTTATTTCTGCAGATATTGAGCGATTGGAATGTATAGGAAACTTATTTCAATATGCTGATAATTATTTTGTTATTAGCATCCCCGTGAATGTTTGGAGAAAATCTAATGCACAAAGTGGATTTTGACTAATAATGTCGGTACTGCAGGGAATCACAGTTGGTAATGAAGGCAACTTCTGACAGGTATTGCAAACTATTCCCAAATGATTGTAATTAGTTTCATTCGAAAAGTCGTTAATTACCTGCTAAGTATATGTCCGTCGGATTACACCTGTTGAGCGAACAATTTGTTGTTCTTGTGTCATTAAATTAGAAATGGAGAGACAAGTAAGGAGGACTGCAGCTCCAGTCACTTTAAATGGACATCGATTCCACTTCAAACGTAATTATGGAACAAAGCGGTTAGTTTGCGTATGTTCGCATGTTGTTTATAACGCTTTAGGTTTTCTTCTAACTTATGAGAGTGTGTGTATTTGAAATTACTTTTCTTGTTTTGCATTTTTACATGTCCCTTGGAAATTGTAATTTCATGGAAATAAATTTGTATAGGTAGTTGGGTACATGAATAAGACTATTACGAAAATTTAAAGCTCGAATTTTCCACAGATTTTACATATGCTCAGAGGTTAAAAATTTGGGATGTCCAGCAAAGGCGTATGTTGATAATGATGATGGGCCACTCATACTAACTAGAGGTCATGAACATGTAGCATTATACATGGAGGATCGGACCGAAGAGTTTAAGGACAGGCTATTTTTGGAAATTCGGAGTACAGACGACAACCTGAGGACAATTTACCTGAGAATGACCCCTGAGTGGGTGCAATATTCTCGATAGTGTTTCCCTCCAACAATACCATTTGTTCCTCATGTTAGAACCCCCAAAGAATCCTCTCACAGCGAACCAAAATTTTCATAATGTTTTCAATAATTTTGAAGTATTTATAACTCCATGTCGACGAAGTGCAGCCGAATAGTGGATCTACTTCGTTGTAAAAGAATAAAGAAATGAATCTTCATAATCATAGCGACGTGTTTGTTCTAGCCATGGAACCGCTGCGTCCACAGTCACATGGGCTTCTATTGAGAGGACGATGCGGCTATGGGCTGCCGAGAATCGCTCCCCAGTACCGAGGACATTGCAAGAATATGCCGAAATAATCAATCTTCCACAGTGGAGCAAGTATCGAAAACATGCCGGTGGTAGTTTGACGGTACATACTATGAATCCTGCTTTCAACACTTCAGTCACTGTATTCGGTGACCGGGAATTTCTCGCATCCATTTCTTATGTTTAAGAACTCCTTATTGATGCTACTTTTGAAATTTGCCCTCGTGCAGCAGGGATTTACCAATTCTTGACTATTATGGCACGAATTGATGATACGGTGAGTTGTAGTGAAGATCTCGTTACTATTCCAATTCATTATCACATCAAAATAGCGGAGGATAAGCACTTGCATTTTTTTGCTACTTTACAACGGCCTGTCAAATGAATTCGAAAATTGACTTTCTGGTCATTCCAAAAGCCTATATCGGCCCCAAATTTCCTCAGGCATCGAATGAAATCGAGTTGAGAACGCTCACGCAGTTATTTTCAGAGATATGTTAGCTTAAAGTCAAGCTAGGTGCTCTTTCGGCGTGAGGTAGGCGTTTTGTAAAGTTTTTCCGCTATTCTTACACATATGGTCTGTCATAGGAACTGGAGAATTCATTTTCCAGTCATTCTAAAGACCCATTCAGGCCTCAAATTTCCTTAGGAATCGATTAAACTTGGCCCAGAAACGCTAACTCTATTAGTTTTTAAGATATGATTCATTGTCAAATGTCTTCGCGATTTTTTTGAAGAATTGTTCCTAAGAATTGTTCCTAGATAAGAAGGAATAAATAGAAGGAGAAATACGAGGAATCAGAGAAATGTACGTGCGAGAAAAAAGCAGAAGAGAAATCATTCGTGAGAAATGGTTTTTTTTAAATAAGTTTTACACGAGAAATTTTGGGGGAGAAATAGTTTTATGAGAAACTTAGCCCGTACAGCCTTAGTAAGTACTAAGCTCATCCATCACTGACTGTCATTATGAGTCATAATGATAAGATGTGATGGGAGGCATTTTATCCTATCATGATGCCACTTTTTCAAATAAAAAATTATTCCGCCCTCAATATTCATCTGCGGATCGGTTATTGTAACTCATGTGATTAATTTGATTACCATGAAGATTTTCAATATAAGAATATGAGCAATAGAGACAATAATGAAATGCCGAAGTACAATCAATCTATTTATCATAACAATTTATATTTTAGTGCGTGCCCATTGCTTGGGCGTTGATGACAAGGAAAACCCAAGAGGCCTATACTGCTGTCTTCCAATATTTTAAATTACAATTAGGGCCACTCATTCGACCAACGACAGTGTCTCTAGACTATGAACTAGCTCCATCTAATGCTATTACACATATTTATCCTGATATCAGTGCAGTATATTGTTATTTTCATCTTATTCATGTGAGATTAATTGTCACTAAAAAATCTCTCAATACCGCCATCATGAAATAATAATCAGGTTTCACGCAGGCATTCCTCCAACGATTAAAACGCCAGGGAGGAAATTTTATGGCACGACTAGCAGAATGGGAATTGGCAAAATGTTTTTTTAGGAAACTGTCAGCACTTGCATTGCTTCCAGCATCACATATCGTTCGTGCCTTCAGGTGGTTGGTTGACAATACTGCACCCGATGTTCTTATATTTTTCGACGATCTCATCCGGTACTATGAAAGATGGTGGTTAGGACGGGTTACACCTGAGAAATTTTCTGTTTACCGTGTTAAATTCCGCACCAATAATCATGTTGAAGCCTACCATAGATCTTTGGGGAGGCGAATAGAGAGTCATCCTGGAATATGGAAATTCACAGGTATTGAAAGTTCACCTCCATTGTTTTAAAAATTATTTTCAAAATTCCCATAATTACGCCTGTATGAAGTCTCTAATTGCCCCATGAGTCCAAAATCAACTCTATCATTGACGTTTCAGCTGAGTTGAGAGACATTCAGATGAACACGACGCGCGAGGTGAATTCCCTAAACATGGGGATTCCAATGAGACGTGCAGTTGAGCGATCACGTAGAACCCATGAGGAATTATTGAATTATGGATGGGATTTGTATGACAATAATTCCCTTGACATCCCAAAATTTGTAGCGTGTGCTAGTCTTCTATCACCTTCTTTTAACAATGATTTTATTCTGCAATCTCGAGAAGAGGTCGAATATTTTATAACAGCTCCAACACACAATAGAGGTTGGTTCATCTCATAAAAATTTGATAATTCTTTGCTCATTTATTATCAGTGATTCTCATCTAATGTTTCCAGACGATGACCCACCTAACCATGGCATTGAAGCGATTGAAATGGAACGTCAATCAGAGGGACCCATTCCTATTGTTAGGGG